TCAGAAGTCCCTTGCATATATGAAATTGCAAGATTATGTTTATTGATCTCTATATCTTTTTGTGCATGAATCTCTTTTCCTTTGGTCAAAACAGATATTCTTTCCATCATCTTGGACATCTGCTCTCTTATTTCTCGTATCTCCTCTTGCTCCTTAATGGACACATGATCTTTAGGTGCATAGCTCTCCTCTATCTTTGGAGTTTCCTCAGGATACCATTCCATGATTGCGCCATATTTTGTTCGATCATAAAACTTGTTGTCCATTTACGATTTCTTTCCAATATGATGAACAGTCTTTCAAGTAAAAACCTTTTGGTTATGCCATGATCATGCAATGCAAACAAAAGAAATCAATGTGAACAGATTAGAGCAATGTAACATGCATGAAAAAATAAGAAAAAATAGAATAGTTAGTACCAACTAATGGAAAAAAAATCTATCTATCAAGGTATAAATCTTAACCTCATGCTTTCTAGTTCTATGCTTTGTTTGAAAAAATTAACCTAACCGCATGATTTCTAGTTCGCATGCATTTATTCAGAAAAAAGAAAAGGAAATAAAATAAATTAAAAGCTAGAGCTTATTTCTCCTTTGTGTATACCTACTGACAAAATTTCGGCATGGTTTCAGATCGGGAGAGTTTCTAGGGTTTATTATATGCAAGGTTTCAGTTCTAGGAGTAAAGGTACTCAAACTGTCCTTGTTGATGCCCCCTTGGGCTGTCAAACCCTCAATCCTAGTCCATTACAGACTTTAGTGGATCGAGTTCAATTCGAGGGGACATATTTCTCTATGCCTGACACGGAGAATAAATTCTCACGAAGATATAGAGCATATGAACCCCAAAAGTTACTTGCTAGGTCTGACACGGAGAATAAATTCTCACGAAGACATCGCTTTCACTCCCACTTAAAAAGGGACAAGCTTGATTAGAAAGCTTATGTTATGCAATGCAAATGTTGTGTGTGAGAATAAATATTCAAACCTTTGACAAATAATTAAATGAAAAATTTAATATCTGAAAATAAAGTAAAAATAAAAAATATAAAAAAATATTATGAAAATCATAAAAATTTGAAAGAAAATAATTAAAAATTAAATAAATGAATTTTTAATTTCTAATTAATAGAGATAATTTATAATTAATTTTAAAGTTTGATAGTCCCCAACAGAGTCGCCAAGCTGTCGTAACCAGTTTTCGTCTGGGCACGAATTTTTTACTTGGTGGGAAAAGTGATGTGAATAAATGGATTTTAAAATAATTTGGGAGTCGCCATCGGCCTTTTGGATCAGGTAGGTCGAATACCTAAAAATCATCCTTTAAAAGAGTTTTTAAGAAAACATCGATTAAAAGATAAACTGATCTGCGTTTTAACCAAAATTTCGTTCTTTTTAATAATAAAAAAGGGATTCGTGGTCGGTTACGTTTAGGGAAGGATTAGCCCTCCTACAACGCCCAAAATTGGTACTTTTTAATTATAAATTGTCTCTATTATTAGAGATTTAAAAATTCAAAATATATTTAATTTATAATCCTATTATTTCAAAATTATAATTATGAAAAAAATATTAGTTTATATATATTTATAAATAAAATATTTATTTATTTAGAAATATCAGAAAATGACTTCTAGGTGCCTTAAGACAGCTCTTTTCTTCGATATTAAAAAATAAATAAATAATTAAAACAATTAATATATAATTTATAAAATAGGATATTTATTTATTTAAAAATATCAGAAAATGGACATCTAGTTGTTTTAATACTGCCCTTTCTTAATATCGAAAAATAAATAAATATTAAAATAGGATTAAAATAAGTTAAAAGTAATTAAATAAGATTTTAATAAATAAATATTATTTATTATAAATATATATATTTATGGCTAAATAATAATAGTAATAATAATTAAAAGTAAACATATAAAATTAACATATAACTAAACAACAATGAATAAAATTAAAACTATATATTTAAAATAAATAAAACTTGTAAAAAATAAATAAAAATTGAAATTAGTGACTAAATTATAACCTAATAGAATTAAATACCTAATTCATAATTAATTATTTAAAATTTGAGTGACTAAACATGCTATTCTCCTTATTTATTAATTTAGTGACTAAACTAAAATTATATAAAATTCATATATCAAATTAAAATAAATTGAAATATGTTGTTCGGGGTTTAAAATATTAATTATTAAAATTAAAGGACTAAATATGTTATTTATCCTAAATATATTATTTAATATAAAGGACTAAAATAAATAAAATTAAAATTAAAGAACCGAATTATAAAGATCTAAAACTTGGGTTCAATGACTAAAATATAAAGATTACAAACTAGGATGGCTGCGGAAAGGGTTTGGCCATGCACGGAATTACAGATATAGCCCTCCCAAAATGGGGTCGCTTGGGAAGGGGTATAAATGCCCCAAACGGCTGGCCCGAAGGGCCAGCTATCTCATTTCTCTCTCTCTTCTCTCTCTCAAATGAGAGAACCAGAGTTCTCTCTGGCCTCTCTCTAAACCCTCCACCAGAGGGAGATAAATTTCTGCCGGCAGCCGTGTTCCGGCACCGATCACCACCACCGACCACTGTGAACGGTGGCCGAAAACTTACAAAATACCCCAAAACTTAGATCTTCACTTTCTAATTCCTAATAAGGCCTTTATTTATCCTAAAAACCCTTAGGATTTCCTAGATCTAGGATTTTACCTTCGAAGTTCGAAGGTTTCCGGTGATGTTTCGAAGTCTCCGATGACCGAGTAAGCTCTCTCTTTTTTTTTCTTTTTTTTTTTGGCTTCTGGTTGCTATGTTGTTGGTTGGGATCGTTGGTAGCTTTCTGTCTTCCTTCATTTTTTTTCCTTCTCTCGTCCCTATTTGTTTTTGTTGCTCTCTCTATGTCTTTGCTTGCTGTGGCCTCCTCCTTTTTTTGCAAGATTCGGTGGCTTTTATAGCCACCACGGAGTTCTGTTTGGACCGGTCCTGAGAGGGAAACCTCGGTGAGTCACCAAAGCTAGGTTGGTGACTCACCGTAGGGAAGGCTGTTGGTTGCCATCTGGCGTTCTGGAGTGTTCCTTGAGGCGGCGGCGTGGCAGCAGCTGGTTGGACCATCTGGCTTGGGAAGTGTCGGCAGAGGCGGCTGTTGGGAGTTCTTGGAGGCGGCGACAGCAGTGCTAGGGTTTAGAAACCCTAAATGTTTAGGGTTTTATTTTGGTCTGGGCCAACAGTAAACGGGCCTTGTAAATGGGTTTAGGGTTTTGTAATATTTAATTTAATGATAATAATAATATAGAATAATAATAATAATAATATATTTATTTAATAATAATAATTATTATTATTATAATAATAGAATGAAAAATTAGTGTCTACAACGATCATAGAAAATATCGTATGCATGCATCGCCCCAAGTGAAGGTTATTTCATGCGTGCATTAAATGGGATCTTTTTCATTAATGAAAGAAATAATTTAAGGTTCACAATAAATTCAAGGCTAGGCCTCATTTTATTTTATTCTGCATGTTCAATGACAGACGAATGGAACTCTATAGTTTTCCACCTGCCTCGATTCATGAGGTCCACAATTTCCATTAATTTATTTTATATATATATTTTCTTATTTCTCGAAGTTTTAAAATTATTAATGATAACCCATTCATATATCATGAATTTTTCGATACCTCTCTATTGTTCTCTTTTCCTGTGTATCTTCATCTTTCTTCTTAATTTGGCTCTATTTTTCAATTAGTTTTCTAAAGAATAACTATAAATATAAACAAATTAATTACTGTTTCATCTTTAGAGTACAGATAGATATACGGTAAAATAAAGATGACGATTGGATATAGCATCAGCAATGCAATTTTTAGCTTTGAAGTCAATCTAGCTAGCACATGGGAAAGAAACAATTTCTTTTGTATTTTAAATGGGAAATGCCTTCAAAGTTTGAATTATTGAGAAAAGGACATCATTCTCTTTACTGTTCCCACTTGCCCTTTTTACTTTTTTTTTTGTTAATTTCGTAGTGCGAAGTAAGAAATCGTTTTCGTATATAAATAATCCAATCAAGCTCGCAAGAGAAGATTATAATTCAGCAATGGCTCGTTTGGAAGATGAATAAAAAAATTAACCATACTTAAAATAAGTAAAATATTTTTTATTTATTCAAATACAACCATGCGACTAAAATATCAAATGAAAACAATATATTAACACACAAACGAATTATTAATAAAAAATATTTTTTGAAATTTTATTTTGAAAAAAAAAAACAGATATCCAAATCAATAGAATATCAAACACTTTATTTGCTTTTCCTTAACTTTCTTTTTAAAACAAAGACTAATAAAATTATCAATTCAAATTTATTGATAGGGGATGTATAAAAAAAGACAATTTAATATAAGATTAAGAAAATATATTATCGGAAATGTTAATATTTATTTAATATTTTTGATAGATCGTTATCTAAAATGATATTTTTTTTACTGAAAATGCTAATATCAAAAATATTCATTTTAAATAGAGAAATTAACATTTTCAGTAAAAAATAATAATATCTTAAATAACGTTCTATTAAAAATGTTAAAAATATTAATATTTTCGATAACACATTTTCTTAACGAATTGGAAAACTATCCCCGATAATATTATGAAAATGACAAAAATTAAATCTCATATGTTATCGAAATTAGATGATTTGGTAAAACAAATAAATGATAAAAGATGAACGCATTATCGGGTATGGCAGCGCAGCCACCGTCCCACTGACAAATCTTTTACGCACCAAAATCTCAACAGTAGCCAGCAGTTCCAAAAATATCCCCCACAGCCACAAAGCAATTGTCGCAAACGCAACAATGACATCCAAACAAACAATCATCATTTCACTTTTCACAGGCCCTTTGATAACCCCAAGAAAACGAAAGAATATAACAGCAACGGATAAATCTTAGCACATTTGTTAACTGTTATCTGGTTTTATTTTTTATACTCATTAATCCAAAGGGAATCACATACTGAAAAAAAAAAAGAAATTATTGAATTTTAAATTAAAGAAAGAAAATGAGTTTGTTGTTGTTGTGAAGATTAACCTCGTTACATCATTTGTCGTCATCATCACCGTCATCACCAGACTTGTGGTGATTAACCTTCGAACAACCCATTCCACGAGCAGCAGCCGCCGTCTGAATCGATGACGGCGTGAGAGCGTCAACCACAATCGCCGACGACATCTCCATCTGGCAAACCCTAACGGCACCGATCAATTTTTCCGGCAACTCATCCTCGGTCTGCGCTTCCACCAGAAATCCCATATCGATCGTTACGCTCGTCACGTATCCCAATGCGAGGTGCAAAATCGCATTAGCGATTGCCGAGCTGGCGATATCTACATCAATTTCCAAATAATTAGGTCCTCTATGGTAATTGCAGGTCAAAGCTTTACCTAACAAACAGGCGGCGTAATTGCCCACCGCCTTTTTGACGATCCACGGTCCTTTGACAATCCGGTTGACGATCTTGAACCGTTGGTTCCTGAACGCATCATCGCCGTTAATGAATCGGTAAAGTAAAGAGCCGGGAGGGATAGGATCCTCGGTAGCGAAATAGAACACGGCGCTATAATGATCTTTGCCGGGAACTTGAAGATTTACTGCGAAAATAAAGCTTTTCATGGATTTGCCTAGGGATTGCGCCTTTCTGAGCGCGTGAGAAACACGGTTGTCAGGTCGGGCGAGTACGTTGTCGACCTTAGAAGTTGACTTGAGCCAGTCCATCCCGAGCGGAGCGAGTAGGTATTCTCCGGCGGGGGATTTTTGTCGTTTAGTGAGGTAGTTAACGGAACGGAGAGAGAATAGATGACCGGGAGGTGAGGCCCAGCCGTTGGTTCCGGTATCAAGGTCGACGTGACACAAGGATCCACCGTTTATTGAGTCGGAGATCCAATCGGGGGTGAATGCGGTGGATTTGGCGGCGGAATCCATGGCAGAGCCTCGCTGTTTTTGCTTAGTCGTGGGGCACGTGATATTTATACTCTCGCTCTTTTTCTACGTTCTCTACCACTTTTTTGTCTCTTTAAAACGAAAACAAACCGAGGCAGAGAGAGAAAGAAGGTCGGTGTACTTTGTTTGTAGAGTGAGCACAGTGGAGGAGGCATTGATAAAGGATACAGGTAAAATCCCCCTTGGATTTGCAATTAATTACGATGGAGCCACTATGGGAAACAAAGAACCGCTAGATTTAGTACAATCCGGAGTCTGCGAATCTTTTAACATTTTATCGCCTGATTTTATAAGTTGTTAAGCAATATTTAAAAATAATTAATTAATTAAATATATGTGTTTGCATATATCACATTATACGTGGTGGAATTTCTTTATTAACTGAATTAGATACTAAATTGAATAATATATTGAACGGTTAAACATTTTAACGTAATTTAAAATTAACTAAAATTCCCATCTATAATTTCATAAAAGATGAAATTTAAATCTGAAACCTACTAATTAATTTTTTAATTTATTTATAAAAATGAAAAAATATATAATTTTCATCTTATCATATCAAATAATAACCAGATCTTAAATTCTAAAATTAATTTTAAAATATAATTATATATCAAATATAATAATTCCTCCGGATTTAAAAGAGCTAGCAGATGCTCATAATTGATTGCCAGCCCAATTAAGTTGTGAAATTTAGGCATTGGCCTTTTGAATTAATTTCATAACCATATAAGATTACAAGTTTTAATTTTTTAAAATCCAAATCATTAAAAATAATTATCACATACATAAATCAGATGCTATTGAATTCAAAATAAACTTAATTAGGTAGGGGATTTAATTGCATGTCGTCTCAATTAATTAATTTCTAAATCTGTGGTTTTCATAAGTCCTACGGCAAATGCATAAGATAATCGAAAGGAAGAAAAGAAATATTTTAGGTTGGTTTATCGTTGACATTAATTAACGACACAAAGGGAAAACGAGAAAGGTGAGGTGACTTCAACGACAAAACTTTTGGGATGAATTGAAGAAGAAGAAAAGAGAGCCGTCGGACAACAAATTTGACGCTACTATTGTTGACATCATCGATATTGACGATGGTGACACGTGGGAATAAAAATAATTACAAGGGCTTAAGCCTAACCACTTTTAACGATTAAAGATTTCATAAAAAAATGTATTGATAAAGCCAGAAAATTTATATTGGATAAAGTACACAAATTATCATCTGATTATAAGATATTATTTTATTGAGTTTCTTAATTATAAAAAGTTATAAAATAGTCCTCCAAATATAGAATTTTGCTTTATTGAGTCCCTCAATTATTGAAGTTACAAAAAAGTTACTTAACTATTCATTATGTTCCAAACTCGTCATTTTCCATTCAAAGATTAACGACAATTTGAGCTAGATTTTAATTTTTTATGTGAGATATGATAGCCGTTTAAGATTATGGGATCAAAGTTTATCATATGTCATACAATATATTAACATCCAACTCAGACTTTCGTCAATATTTTGAATAGAAAATGACAAATTTGGAACATAATGAATAGTCGAGTGACAATTTTATAACTTTTAATAGTCGAAAAACTCAACAAAATAATATCCTATAATTAGGGGACTATTTTATTATTTTTTGTAGTAGAGAATTTAATAAAGAAATATCCTATAGTCAAGAGACCATTGTGCACTTTATCCTTTTATGTTCAAGGTTGATATTAAAAAAAAGGGTAAACTACATCAATGATCACCTAAGTATAGGACTTGGTCTCAAAATGACAATCATTTTTAAATTTACGTCAATATGATTACTTAACTATCTAAATAGTTTCAATATAGATAATTTTCGTTAACATTGTTTACGTGGCCGTTAACAAAATTGATATAACTAGAGTGTGGGTCATTGTAAAGTTACGTATTCGCGGCTCTGACACCTTGCTTTGTTTTCTTCCATTTTGGTCGCTACTTATATATGATTTGTTTCCTTAGGTTTTCATTTAATGCAATTTGATCTTGATTCTATTTTTAATTTATCTAATACCTTAATTTGAGCATTAACTTTAAAATCTTTTATTCTCGTCATGTATTAAATTTATAGATTAAATCCCCTAGATTTTAGATTTAATTGTTGAGTCAGTTCTCACTATTGTTATCAAAATAATACATATATTATATAACTTGTTTAGGTTTAAGCATAAAAATAAAACTAAAATAACTTAATTGCATTTGAACCCAATATCAGTTAGAAACCAAGCAAAGCCTTAACCTATAGGATAAATCTAATATTTAGGAATCAATCAATTTTTTTATATATTATATATTATAGTTAATTATAGAAATAAAAATAGATAAACAAGGACTTAAATCTAAGCCAATTGAGAATATGATAACACTTAAATGGCTTAAAAAATCTAATTTTTAAATTAAATTTATTTATTTAATATTTATTTATTAATGAGTATATGTATGAAATTATATTTAAAATTAAATTAAAAATTTATTTAACATTCCTAAACTCACGAGCACAATTTTTAAATATGAAATTATTTTTTCTGCCTAAACTTGAACAAGTTATATAACATATGTATTATCTCAATAACAAGCGTGAGAATTAGTTCGGTGGTTAAGGTATGCGCATGTTACCCTTGGATGTCAAAACTCATCTTTATTTATTTTTACTTCAATTCAAAAGGTGACACATGCCACCTTTTTGATTCGATTGAAAATTTATTAAATTAGGGTAAACTATATCGTTGACCATTTAACTATAGCCCTTTTGTAACACCTCTGACCCGTACCTGACCCGGATACGAATCCGAGGTGTCACCTTTGACTTTTCAAAACATATGCAATTCACAAATAAGAACAAAATTAAAATTTTTAATCAAAATAAAAAGGTATAAACCTCTTAATAAGATAATCATTTCACATACATTTTTACATAAAAACTTTAATAATTTACATAAATACCAAAACGTAGGAGTTTACAAAATCAATAGAGCATTTCAAATTAAAAGTATAATACATGTCAACCATTTACAAAAGTAACATAAAAACCTACATTTAACTTGTCCTGATCTGATCTTCAAGTGATATGATATCCTCGATAACTCAGTCTTCTGCTCTCTTAAAACCTATGCATGAGAAAATCACACGCTAAGTCGATGACTTAGTGAGGCAAATACTAAGAGTGCTAATCTTAATAATCAAAATATTTTATAATGAATTCCAACTTATTTTCCACATCCCAAAGATATAATTATTATATATATTTCATTTTATTTAACTTGGTTTTAATTTCCCAATGTATACTATTGAGAACTCTAGGTATTTGAGTACTATGAGGTTGTGCACTAATATTGTCACCACAGCTCATAATTTGCACCGATGTGCCACATATTTGTCCCGAAGGACCACATAGTTTTACACCGAAGTGTCACATAGATTGCACCGAAATGCCACATATTTGTCCCGAATGACCACATAAAACCCTCGACTCTTAGCATGCCAACTATACCTTTAATCCTCATACATATACTTTGGACTATTAATCACATAATTATGTTCAATCATTATTTGAAGTGTTTCTTATTCACATAGTTTCTCTCTCATAGAGTTTATTCATATTCACTGGTTCAAAGCTCACATCCACTTGTTCAAAGTTCACATTTCCATAATCGTATGATCATAAAACATAACTTGTATAATATAACTTGAATAAAACGTTGAAATATAACATAAAAGAAATTATAAAGTTTTCAATCGAAAACACTGAGGTTGGCTTATCGCAAGCCTTCATCAATTCTGTTGTAAAACTGAGAAGTTGCACTCACGTTTGCCTTACTGAAGTCTAATCCAAATCTTTAACCCTTTCGATTCTTTAATTAATATGTAGAGCTGACCGGAAGTCGATTATGTTCAATCACTACGTAAAAGAATCAAAAATCAATATCGTTCTTCGAATCATTTCTAACCAATCAGAATAACTTATAATGCAAGAAACTATTACTTTCCATTTTATATCTAGAAGTATCGGTACTACCCTTCCAGTACCGATACTTCCCTTCAAAGGTATCGATACCTCCTCAAGGTACCGATACCGAATTAGTATTCTGTAATTGCATCATAAAATGGTATTGATACCATCCCCCTGGTATCGATACTACCCACATAATATCGATACACTCTACAACTGGTATCGATACTATCTATATAGTATCAATACCTTCTTCAACGAGTATCAATACTACCCTTAATAATTTCACAGATTTTCTCTTGAAGTATCGGTATTGTTCTAACGGTACCAATACTTAAAGCCAAAAATTGTAATTTTTACTTCAAAAATCACCCTAAAATTCCTCTCAAATCTATTATATCATCATTCCTTAAGCCTTTAAACTAAACTTCTTTCATTTAAACCAACTTGTCATCAATTACTACTCTTAAACATACCAAATTCTCACTAAAACACCTACATCTAAGAATCATACCATGTTTCAACCAAGTTCTTAATCATTTCTAATACTCATAAACCTTTAATTAGCTCAATAAAAAGTCAAATATCTCAACAAAACTTCAAAAACTACTCCATATCAAAATTTCATTTCAAAACCCATTTTACAAAATCCTTTCAAATTCACTTATCTTGTTATTATACACCTCTATAAACCTTCCTTAAGGATATATAATACCCAACCTTTCATTAACCAACCAAAAATTGAAGAACCGATAACTCTTAAAAGAACTTACCTTTGATGGAGATAACGGGAAGAGAAAGAAGATGAGAACATAAGCTTCCATAAACCTTATCCAATAACTCATGTTAAATATCTCTCCCAAAAAGAATTTTTAATTCAATCTATCAAAAGATTTCTTTGCCCTCAAAGTCTTCCATATTTGCTAACAAACCTGAATATAATTTCCAAAATTAATCCTTATACTTTTCAACTTAATACAATTTAACTACTAACTTTTTTTTCTTACCTTTTTGGTCACCGACCTGATGTTTGTGATGTTACAAATCTTCCCCCTTAAGAAAATTCGTCCTCGAATTTTCATTGAAAAAAAGGTAGGGATATTGCTTTCTCATATCTTTTTCACGCTCCACGTAGCTTCTTCTACT